CTATAAAAAAAAAAAATTATATTGATTCGGTAATTTTTAAAAAAGTTAGGGCAATATTAAGTAAAAAAAAACCCAGCACAGTGGTGACGTGGTATAGATGGATCAAGTATAATGATATCTGACAGTGATTAAATTCACTATCAAAAAAAAAAACGCTTCGATGCAAATCTTTAAATAGTGTTTAATTTTAAAAAATTGGTGGATTATTCCAAAAACNGCTTCGATGCAAATCTTTAGATAGTGTTTAATTTTAAAAAATTGGTGGATTATTCCAAAAGCTACATGATCTGCTAGTTCATTATTAATATCCTAATTAAGATAAAGTATGTCGAATGTAAAAGGGATTATTAAAAAATATTATTTCTCATAAAAAAATAATGTTGATCCATACACTTTTCAATATGTCATAGAATAATAAAGTTAAAAATGTAAAATACAAAATCGAAAATTTTCACACAATTATAGCATTTGGTAGCCATTTTCACCGTGAAGACAAAATAAAGTCCGAAATTTTTTTTTTACATAATAAAGTAGATTACATTAGCTTTAATTTAATATATATATAAAAGTGTCAGACTTTCCGGAACACTTTCAAAAGTTAAGATGAAAAAGTTCTACTTTCTATATGCATTTTTATGTTTTGAATCCCCATTGTATTAAGGGAAATGGTTGGATTTAATATAAAACTATGTCGAATGAAAGATCTATATAAATACTACNTAAAAAAAAAGTATGTCGAATGAAAGATCTATATAAATACTACTTCTCATAAAAAAATTGTAATGATCCATACATTTTTCAAAAAGTTATAGCATAATAAAGTTAAAAATGTAAAATACAAAATCGAATATTTTCACACAAAAATAGCATTCAGTAGCCATTTTCACCCTGAAGATAAAATAAAGTCAGAAATATTTTTTTTGACGTGGTATAATTGGATCAAGTATAATAAAATCTGACAGTGATTAAAATCACAATAATAAGAAACGCTTCGATGCAACTCTATAGATAGTGTTTAATTTAAAAAAATTGGTGGATTATTCCAAAAGCTAAATGATTTGCTATTTTCTTATTTATGTCCTGAATGAAAAAGGGGTTATTAAAAAATATTATTTTTCATAAAAAAATTGTGTTGACCTTCTGGAACACTTTCAAAAGTTAAGTTGAAAGAATTAATTTTTTGTAAAAAACTTATCATTTTAAAGCCCCCCCGTGGGCAGGTCTAGGGTCAGATTTATAAAAAAAATATACCAAATGATAAGTAATGACATCATGCATCTATAAAAAAAAAAATTATATTGATATGTTTATTTTTAAAAAAGTTACGGCATTTTTAGTAAAAAAATTGAAAAAATTTCGAAAATTAGCCAATTTTAAATTTGTTTTATTATTTTTTTGGAGGTTTCCCCCATTTACGGGGAACGAGGGAATTTTATCAATTTTTGAGGGTAATGTCTTTGACTAGATACGATTTGTGATCTTTTGACGTATCATTGAAAGAAATCGGTTCGGTGAGAGCTGAGANCGACTAGATACAATTTGTGATCTTTTGACGTATCATTGAAAGAAATTGGTTCGGTGAGAGCTGAGAAAAAGTGGTAACAGACACAAAAAAAAAAAAAACACATCTTAGTAAAACCAATACCTTCTCAGCTTCGCATCGAAGCTAAAAAAGATGCACCACCTAAAATATGTAATACGCTAAAATAAAATATGCCAATAAATAAGATATTTTAGTATACATAAAAATAAATAAAATATTTTAGTTTATTCTCAATGACCTATCCTGTTCTAATTGTTTATTACTAAAAAATTCTTCAGTAAAGGATCTATTATAGACTTATTATGTTAACAAATTTATAACATTCACTTTTTGTATCTTGATTGAGTATTCCAGAGAGCCGTAGAGATGCATAGATAAAATGGCAAAGCGTTCCAGTATCCGCTAGAGGGATGTTCAGAAATTGTACATAACCACCGCAAGAGAACCACACTAAGGGAAGCGAAGCACCCGAATTTGGGGGAAAATGGCCTTTTTATAGCCCGCAAAACTGGTTTAGCGATCTCTGGTGAGATTCTTGAAATATTTTTTTGCTGTATTTGATTGGTTAATGTGATAGAATCTTTTACGTGGGCGTTTTATGGAATGCGTAAGAGGGTGGTTAAATCTTGTGTAAGGGTATTATTTTATTATTCATCTTATCCACGGGGAAACACTGATTTGGTGATATATTTTATTAAATATAAGTATTAATTATTACATGTATTAAAATGTGATACTACAAATAACAGGGAACAATTATATTTAATTAAATAACTTGATCTTATCTTACGTGCAAGGTTATTTCATAATTGTATTCCACACAACATGATCATTAATAATAATTAATAATATTTAATTTTAATTTTAAAGTATTACGTTGCGATTGTTTATTATAATCGTATCCTTTGAATTCATAATAATATAATTTGCAATGCCGACTATATTTTTTCTTTAGTATCGGCAATTTACGAATTTTTCTTGTAACAGTTTTGTTCGTTTAATAACTACGATTGACTATACGTATTTGGCCATGCCTTAGCGGAAGGAAAAGGAGAATATAAAATGTGGAAATTGAGCCTTGCAATATATTAAATAGAAAGAAAGAAAACAACATATATATATATATATAATCACAGTATGATATTTTTTCTGTTATGATAAAAAATAACAAACAAACAAGACCCAAATGATAAATAGAATTAGCTAAAATTAATAACGAAAATAATAACATACATTACCTGTTTATAACTAATACATATTATAAGGACTGTAAATCCGTAAAATAACAATAAAAAAAATTATTATTAATTACCAACTGCCGTTTGGAACTGATGAATAATGTGAAATCAGGATACAGGAAGGGAAAATAACACCGTCACATTCAACAAAAACGATTAGCATCTCAATTTAATGACTATGGTGACAAGGTAATACACGACCCAAATACTTGGCATCGATATGACCGAAACGACCAAATGAGAGAGCGCGGAATGAATCCTTCACGACCACTGCCACACACTACCCCAACAGATAAACCAGTTGTGGCATGTCGCGCTCTTGTTGAAGAGATGAAAACTACCAAACTGTTTCACCACGACTGAACATATAATACCAATGTTAAATCCTAAAAATGCGTTAATAAGTAAATGAATATCTCACAATAATTCTACCCAAAGTAATTATAATTGTTGTTTAGTTAAATTTGTGTTTAATTTTTTTAGCCATAAAGTGATATATCTGATATTATGCAATTTAATGATGAATAGGTTCAAAGTTTATTTCAATTAATTAGTTTATATAAATAAATAATAAATAATATTAATTTTTATGGTATAATTAATATGGTAAATAATTATTTAATTTCGTACAGCTGCCTCAAAATACTATTGTATAATATTTTTAATGTCATTTGTCATTTAAACAATACTAACTTACAAAAAGATGCACCACCTAAAATATGTAATACGCTAAAATAAAATATGCCAATAAATAAAATATTTTAGTATACAAAAAATAAATAAAATGTTTTAACGACATAACTAACTCATAAAGTAACGCCTATATGTGGATTATCAACTAAGTCTAGTCAATCGCATTTAACAATTAATTAAGATGTTTAACTTCCAAGATCACACTATGGATCGCTACACTTAATAGGCTTCTATTAATGTGACCTCTACATGAATAAAAATAAATAAATAAGATTTATTGAAATATTTATTTCTTTTTTATGGGTTATTTTATTTTTGTGTTTCATTTAGCCACTATATAAAACCATTAATGAGAGTTGAATCATTTCAATGAAATTAATTAAATTACTGTTACAATCCGTACCGTCGCTGGATATTGCAGGATCTAATGCAAAATGCATTCACGAGGCTTTTTTTTTAGCTTCGATGCGAAGCGGAGAAGTTATTAATTGTACTACGATGTGTTTTTTTTTTTTTTTTAAGAAGAAGTACGTCAGAGGTAAACATTTTTGCTAACATTAAATTCAAAAAACAATTTTGAATAATTAAATTTAACGTAAATAACTTGAAAGTATTTGTATTGTTATTATTTATGTAAAAATAATGTATTGAAATCCTAGTTCCCAGAGTGACTCTTTCAATACTTTACATAAACTTTATTAATTAACTACATATAAATGAAGGTATGGCACCACTTTAAACACGTCCATGTACGTACTGACAAGGTGCCGATAGTGTCGGAAACGACTTCTGTAGGGTCAAGCGACGAGGGTGTGAGGTGATTATAAACTACGTGGAGCTTGACCGGGCTACACACGTAACTTTTAAAAAATTTATTTAGATGTTATGTAATCACTAAGTTTGTAAAAAAAAGTTAACATTTAACATACGGTTATACTAAAATAATATTTAGAAATAAATAATGTTTTTTGTTAACAAAAATATCTGCTGTAGAAAGTAAAAATTGCGCTTTATCATAAAATTCTACCTACCTAACACGACCCGTAACAGCGCACTTTTCATCTAACCCAACCTAACCGGTTCTAAATAATAATATAGTTTATTTACTCGAAATAAAGACGTTTAAGATGTGAAACATTTTTATACTTTTTAGGTGCAAATGTAGGAAATGATCCACCTAAAATCTGTTTCAGTACCTACAATAATTATGAAAATTGTATAAATACATTTTTATATAGAAATATTTTTTATAAATTGTATATAGTTTTGTATATCAGAGTCTTCTAAACTTATTAAAATAGACATTTTTAACAAAGTAAATACCAATATTTTTTACAATTCATGCATGAGTAATAACATCATTTATATATTTTCGTCATAAAATATCTAAAAAGTCTATAATGGTACTGTTTAAAAAAATTCACTTATATTTCTATTATTTGTTTCTATTATTTGTTTTTTTTATTTATGGTTTTTAATAATTTATTTACTTCAAATCCTATAAAAATGCAAAAATGTAATGGAAAATTATTAAAATATATTCAAAGATAAAAGTCAGTGAATTACATTAATTAAATCTTAATATTCTTGAAAAATGATTTACAAAACGTATTCTTGTGTTTTAATTTTAGTTTGTTGTTTTTATTTTAAAGATGTCTTTGCAAATATATTTATAAAGGACAATGTAATTTATATAAAGTTTATTAAACTATGTTTGATTCAATAATTTAGTTAAAAAACTTTTTATTTAACTTTTATGTATTGTACATTCAGATATGTTTTTTTTTTTTTAGACTGGAACACTAATTTGTCATATGACGGATGATGTAAGTTAGATCATTGCTAAAATTAGCGTCAATACATTTTATGAATTAAACTTTACTTTAAAATTCAAATCAATATTATTTATATTCAATGATTATACAGGGTGTATAATTGTACAGGGTGAACACTCTGTATAATAGCTTGTACAGACTTTAATTGTGTTTATAGTATATTGCTAACACATAGATTATATTTCATTTTGCAATTTTTAATAAAAACATCTTGTCAATTTTCTTTTTTTTTTAGAGTTCCAATCAATTTGGGAATCTTAATATGGTAAGAAATTATTTTATATAAACATTGTAATATGTTTTAATATTAGATCAATACGGGATAATGATGTGAGGGGCATTGATCCAAAGTCTGCCCCAGCAAGAAAGAAGGTCGGTACTTAAAACTGACCACCAGATGAGATGATGGACTACCCCCACCTCCACGTGGTCCAACCCGAACAACGAACCCACCGCTTGTGTACGGCTAACGAGGAAGGCAGCGCCGCGTTGTGATTTGGCTATAGATTAATATCGGGTCGTATCACAACGCGGTGGTAAAAAGATTTTAAGGCGACATGGACCGCCCTGAAGTAATGCTTCACGGCAGTTCCAGGACGGTTCACATTAAGTCGGTTATTGGAGAGAAAAAAAAGGGATAATGATGTGCAGGTTATTATTAAGTTAGGTATTTTGTTTTAGTTCGATGCGAAGCTGAGAAGGTATTAATATTACTATGATGTGTTTTTTTTTTGTGTCTGTGAACACTCAATCTTAGCTCTCACTGGACCGATTTTGATGAACAATATGTCAAAAAATCACAAATCATATCTAGTCGAAGACATTACCCTGAAAAATTGAAAAAAATTCTCTCTTTCCCGTAAATGGGAGAAACCTCCAATAAAATTTAAAATTTAAAAATCGTTAATTTTCGAAATTTTTTCAATTTTTTTTACTAAAAACTGCCATAACTTTTTCAAAAATGAATATATCAAAATAACTTTTTGTTTTTTATAGATGCTTGATGTCTTTACCTATCATTTGGTATATTTTTTTCATCAATTTAACCCTTTATCTGCCCAAAGTGGGGGATTTAAAATGACAACTTTTTTACAAAAAATTAACTTTTTCAACTTAACTTTTGAAAATGTTCCGGTAGGTCTGACACTTTTATATATATCTTGAATTAAAGCTAATGTAATGTACTTTATTATAAAAAAAAAATTTTGACCTCTGGACTTGTCTTCGTGCTGTAAATCGCTACCAAATGCTATTTTGTGTGAAAATTATTGATTTTACTTTTTACATTTTTAACTTTATAATGCTATAACTTATTGAAAAGTGTATGGATCCACACAATTTTTTTATGAGATATAATATTTTTTAATAAACCCTTTTTCATTCAACATATTTTATCTTAATCAAGATATCATTAAGGAACCAGCAGATCATGTAGCTTTTGGAATAAAACACCAATTTTTTTAAAATTAAACATTATCTAAAGATTTGCATCGAAGCGTTTATTTTTGATAGTGATTTTAATCACTGTCAGATATCATTATACTTGATCCAACTATGCCACGTCACCACTGTGCTGGGTTTTTTTAAATTTACGACATGCATTATTGCGAATCGCCCTGAAACTGCCATTAGGCATACCTAAAGTGTTCGCGCCATCTCTATAACTCACAACACTGTGTGGCCTTTATCATTATCCGGGTCTAAAAATCGGGTCCGTTACACGGGCCGCATCACGTGTAGATAGATGAATGACTTTGCGAATGTCTTAACACACATAAAGATTTTCTAAAGTGCCGGCCAATTAATATAATAATAATAATTTTAATTATAATTATAATAATAATAATACAATATTAAACCCAACCCAACCAAACTCACCGGTAAAATCCACGCACAGGAGAGTCACAACATAGTGGTGACGTGGTATAATTGGATCAAGTATAATAAAATCTGACAGTGATTAAAATCACAATAATAAGAAACGCTTCGATGCAACTCTATAGATAGTGTTTAATTTAAAAAAATTGGTGGATTATTCCAAAAGCTAAATGATTTGCTATTTTCTTATTTATGTCCTGAATGAAAAAGGGGTTATTAAAAAATATTATTTTTCATAAAAAAATTGTGTTGATCCATACACTTTTCAATAAGTTATAGCATTATAAAGTTAAAAATGTAAAAAGTAAAATCAATAATTTTCACACAAAAATATCATTCGGTAGCCGTTTTCACCATGAAGACAAGTCCAGAGGTCAAATTTTTTTTTTTCAAATTAAAGTACATTACATTAGCTTTAATTCAAGATATATATAAAAGTGTCAGACCTACCGGAACATTTTCAAAAGTTAAGTTGAAAAAGTTAATTTTTTGTAAAAAAGTTGTCATTTTAAAGCCCCACCCGTGGGCAGGTCTAGGGTCAGATTTATAAAAAAAATATACCAAATGCTAAGTAATGACATTAAGCATCTATAAAAAAAAAAAGTTATTTTGATATATTCATTTTTGAAAAAGTTATGGCAGTTTTTAGTAAAAAAAAATTTCGAAAATTAGCGATTTTTAAATTTTTAATTTTTTTGGAGGTTTTTCCCATTAACGGGAAAGAGGGAATTTTTTTTCAATTTTTGAGGGTAATGTCTTCGACTAGATATGATTTGTGATTTTTTGACATATTGTTCATCAAAATCGGTCCAGTGAGAGCTAAGATTGAGCGTTCACAGACACAAAAAAAAAAACACATCATAGTAAAATTAATACCTTCTCAGCTTCGCATCGAAATTAAAAAACAAACATTATAATAATAAATGACTGATTAGAACGCGTCATTTCTCCTCGTGAATACGCCAAAATTGAATACTCTTAAGTTGTACTAAATGTAGATTTTCATTTTCGATAACATCTTACTTTTCAAAGGAATCTATTAGTGGTTGAGATTTCTAATAGGATTTGAGAAGTGAGTGAACCGAACACATATGATGAGATTACCATGTTTATAATTAAATATTTTTTGAAGTAATAATTATAATCCACATTACTTTTTTGCGTCAATTAATAAGAGTATTCTGAAAGGACTTTTGTCTCTGGCTCTGAATTTGATCTTAGAACTTTCAGATTAATTCTAGTTTTTTAGATAATCACTAAATAGTAAAGAGCAGGTTCTTATGTAATAAATAACTAATTAAAAAAAAAAAAATTATTAAAAATCCATTTAAAACTTCAACGTTTAAGAGACACATACAGAATTTAAGATCTATAACTTAAGTTTAATCTACTACATCTATCCTTTAAAGTTGATTTTGGCGGTAATTTTACAATCAAAACTGATATTTTCCCCATAAACTTTTTTGTATTTTACTCCTGCTATTTTAAATTCTTTATAGCTGATTGAATATTTTAAAAATAGTACTTAAAGTATTTAAAAAATATAGTTTTTATATATTAATATAAATAGATACTGATGTAAATGCTGTTAATATTGACAACATGAAAAAACTCTAAATTTTGATATTTTAACAATATTTTAATAAAAATAATCTTTAATTCTAAAATTAAATACAATCCTACATAGTAATATTTAGATTTTTGGATATCATTTCAGAGTTTTGAAAATGTGAAAAGAGTTGTTGCAGAAATATATTTGCGTCAGGTGTGTATCTTGATTAAAAATATTCTTAATAATAGAGTGTGGTTATATTTTTGCTTATTTGTAACCATTCTATCAACAAAGTTTTGAGGACGTACCTTCGTATAACAGTAATAATAATAATAAATAAAATACTCTAAATATTTATTGTATGTAATTTTAGTAAAAATTTAAAAAGTGCTTACATTTTATTATTTTTTAGGATAATTATAATAGCAGTCAAAAAAATGAAAAAAAAATAGAACTTACAATTGTATGTTATTTTTATTATAAGTGTGTAAATTTAAACACATAATTTTTATATATATATATAATGCACGTAATCGTTAAAAAACATTTACAGGGTAATTATTTATTGATTAAATAATTAATCAAAAAATAAATATAATATTGAGAATTTGATTTTTGATTTATTTTAGTTCTATGCTTTAGTCACTTTATAAGGGTGTCAACTTTATTTGTTCATAATTTATTTTCATTTATTGAAATTCGTATATCTTGGTGAGAGGAGGGCTGCCTTTATCATCAGTCATAACTTTAATGATAAGGGATGAACATGAAAAATCTTTTATGGTTGTTAAATTAACTAAAACATGGAACTAAAAGAAATCACAAGTAAAAGTCTCTATATTATACATGAACAATATTATAAAATGTAATGTATTTATTGTTGTTAAATTAATTAAGTGGTCAATAATAAAAAAGTCATACTATGGAATATATTTATTTTTAAAATAACTTTAGGAAATATAATTACTTGATTATACAAAACACAGATTGATAAGTATATAATGACTATCTTAATTGGCGACGAATATGTATTGCATATCAATACTTTTTATGAATGATATTGGGTTCAGTGATATTAACGGTCAAAATAGATCATTCAGAGTTAACGCATCACTGAACCAGCTATAACTGGACTGTGTTAAATTTAATTCAAAAATTTGACCTCTGGACTTGTCTTCACGGCGAAAATGCCTACCGAATGCTATTTTCGTGTGAAAATTCTCAATTTTATTTTTTATATATTTAACTTTATAATGCTATAACTTATTGAAAAGTTTATGGATCCACACAATTTTTTTATGAGAAATAATATTTTTTAATAAACCCTTTTTCATTCGACTTAATTTATCTTAATTGAGATATTAATAAGGAACCAGCAGATCAAGTAGCTTTTGGAATAAAACACAAATTTTTTTAAGATTAAACACTATCTAAAGATTTGCATCGAAGCGTTTATTTTTAATAGTGATTTTAATCCCTGTCAGATATCATTATACTTGATCCAACTATACAACGGCACCACTGTGCCGCGACCCCCCTGTGCTGGGTTTTTTATGAATGATATTGGGTTCAGTGATATTAACGGTCAAAATAGATCATTCAGAGTTAACGCATCACTGAACTAACTATAACTGGACTGTGTTAAATTTAATTCGAAATCAAAAATATCGATCTCTATTATTTATAAAAAGTACAGGTAAATTATTGAACTAAAAAAGTTATCTTGACTGTTTTTCATGACATATTTTAAATAATCATTGTAAATTATTTCACAAATAAGTGGGGAAGTCCGTTAGTAAGATAGTTAGGTAAGGGTAACAGTTATTATTTTGGGCAAAGATAAAGTTGTGCGTGCAGCCCAATTGCACACTATTAACCAACGGGTTACTTGGCCGATCGTAAAGATGGTATTATTGTCAACGTCATGATTCCCTAAACACACATGCCTTTTTTTCCTCTTTTAATTATTAGGTTCCTTTTATTGCTTATTATGATAGAATGGTATCTTATTTATTTCAGAATTGATTTTGTTGTAATTTGTAGTTTTTTTTTTTTAATCATTTTTTCCTTACTCAACTGTTATTGTATTTAAATAATAATTTATTTTTATAAGACATGTCGTTATTGTTTTAGTTGTGTGTTCTATTTTGTAGATGTAATACTTTATGTTACCTTAATTTAATAATCGTTGTTTATAACTATTTAATTTATGAATATCATAACTGACCGTGAAGACGTGTGGGGTGAAGAACCAAAACTCATTGTCATTACACCATTAAGATGTATCTTCTAAGGTTCTTTGAGTAAACAACTGTAGCCCTTCAAAGGGGGGAGTATGTTGCGGCGAGTTACGTGTAGCTTCGTTTAACTTCCAACCCAAGAAAAGAAACCAGTTTTACTCGTATAATTGGGGAAGTCGTTTGTTGACCGGTGATAGTCGTCGGCTTATCTACCAGTTGTACCAGTGTATGGTTTAGTTAATTAGATACATCGGTGCCGCCAATAGTTGTCCCGTGACCTTAGCGGTATTATGACGGTATACAGGATGGCCCACAACTCACTGACAACTTAAATAACTTTTGATCCAGTTAATATTTTTAGCTGATTTTTTTTTTAAATATTAGTTAGACGTTAGGTCTATAGCTATATCTCAATAATTAATTTTTTTACATTTTATTAAAAATATTAATTATTTTTAAATTTTAAATAAAAAGTAAAAAAAAAATCTAAGATAGCTATTTTGTAGAGTAGAATTTAAGAAAAATTTTAGTAAAAAAATATCTTATTAATATTCAGTAGTAAATATTCTGTAGCGTTTTGAAGTTTGTGAAAATTTGAATTTTCATGTACTATTTTACGGTATTAAACATTGAAATACGTATTGAGAAAAGGACAGAAGAAAACGCTATCTTTTCAATATACTTTTGAATGAGAGTGATAAGTAATAATTGCCTTATCTAATTTCTTATCATGGTATTTATGCCAAGTTTGTAATGTATACATACTATCATCATATGTATACACAGTAATCATGAAAAGATAGCGTTTTCTTCTGTCCTTTTCTCAATACGTATTTCAATATTTATAACCGTAAAATAGTACATGAAAATTCAAATTTTTGCAAATTTCAAAATGCTACAGAATATTTACTACTGTATATTAATAAGATATTTTTTTACTAAAATTTTTCTTAAATTCTACTCTACAAAATAGCTATCTTAGATTTTTTTTTTATATTTTATTTAAAATTTTAAAATAATTAATATTTTTAATAAAATGTAAAAAAATTAATTATTGAGATATAGCTATAGACCTAACGTATAACTATTATTAAAAAAAAAATAAGCTAAAAATATTAACTGGATCAAAAGTTATTTAAGTTGTCAGTGAGTTGTGGGCCACCCTGTATGTGAATACGGTGGATTTACCCTTCGTGTAATCGATTGTATAATTGAGTCCAAGTTGCCTCCGTCAAACGGTTGGAGTTGGTTGAATAGACCAGTTCTCATCCGATCACTGAAGTTATGCCTAGGTCACATTATCAAATTCAACGAGACTTATGAATTCTATACCTGTATTCATTTTGTTTCATTGTAATATTTAGTTGATTATTAGTAATGTAAATGGGGACGCTCAAACATGACTTGATTATGTTAATTATATATTAATATTGTAGTTATAGACAAATCCTCTTTTTTTGGCTTCTCTAACTAATAAAGTTATAGGACTTTCTTTTATTCATTCCCTAACTCAGTCAGGCCCACCGAGATTTAGGAGCCATTAGGCTAACACATACTTAAGCACACATTATCTTTATAAAACTGCTGAGGTTGGTTCATTAGGACTTTTTGAAAACCAACAGAGAACAAATATTTTAATCTGAAAATCATTTATTTTATTTACCAAAAGTTTTTTCAAATGACGGAGGTTATTTAAAAATAAGATTCAATTATGTTTTTGGGCTTTTTATATCATATAAAATCTTCTTTTTTCATTAATTACTGTTATTTGTATTTTAAGACGTTCAAAGAAGACAACATAATTTTATATTACAGAAAAGACCGTGAAATTTGCTCATACAATGGTTTGTATAGATCATGTTGAATAAAATCCGTTTGTTATTTGTTAAAAAATTTTACTTTATTATTAAAACAAAACAGAAAAGCGTCATAATATATTTAAGAAAATTAACACATGAAATCATTTTATTTATAGAAAATGGTACTATAAGATTGAGGGAAATTATTCAAGATTTGGGTTATGATATTGAATTTAAAGTATTTGAAAACATTGTGAGTTTTAATTGTTTATTCAAATTTAATTTATTCAAAAATTATAAGTCATAGATCTTTTATGGTTATTTTAGCTTCGATACGAAGCTGAGAAAGTATTAATTTTACCATGATGTGTTTATTTATTTATATTTTTTTTGTGTCTGTCACTACTTTTTTTCAGCTCTCACTAGACCGATTTCTTTTAACAATACGTTAAAAGATCACAAATCGCATCTAATTGAAGACATTACCCTTAAAAATTGAAAAATTTTCCCTCGTTCTCCGCAAATAGGGGAACTCTCCAAAAAAATTACAAATTTAAAAATCGATAAATTGTGTCATTTTTTTTTTAAACTTCCATAACTTTTTCAAAAATCAACAAATCAACATATTTTTTTTTAAACTAAAACCTTAGATATTCCCCTTTTATTTGATATCATTTTTTTGAAAATTTAACACTTAACCTGTTCATGGGGGGAGGGGGGAATTAAAATTGCTACTTTTTTACAAAAACTAACTTTTTCAACTTAATTTTTGAAAATGTTCCGGAAATACTGCGTTCTTTAAACATATATAAAATTAAAGCTTATTTTATGTACTATAAAATAAAAAAAAAAATTTGTCCCGACTACCTATCTTTTATGCGCAAATAGCAACCGCATTCAAAAATATGCTATTTTTCTATTAAAATGCTAGGTTTTGTATTTTATTTTATTTTAAAATATCTTAATAGGAGAATATATTGACTTTCATGAATATTATATAATTTAATTGACATAGAATAAAGTTCAAAAGACATAAGAAATTAAACTTATTAAATTTTTTTTACTTTTTTAAAGTTAAAAAAGTAATTTTTAAATTTGATTTCGCTTAAATAGCCAATTTTTTTATGTCACGAAAGCTACGAACAGTTGCCGAGTTGGTAACATTTGTGTTTTACATGTTTAGGATACGAGGTTCAAATCCGTCTGTGGCAAATAAAATTTTGCATTTTTTTTGAGTTAGAATAAAATTTTCAAATCATTTGATATTTATCTCATTTAGATTTAATAACTTCAATAAATATAAAGGATCCTATCACTATAGTCTCCCCTAGTGAGAAGAAATTTTTTATTCATGTTAATATTATTTTGCTATGTAGTTTTTTTTTGTGGCTATGATTTATTTTGCCAACTCTCACTTGACCTACTTTTTTCAACGATACGTCAAATGATTACAATTCGTATTTAGTTTAAGTTATTACTCTTAAAAATAGAAAAAATATTCCTTATTCAAATAAAAAGTAGCTTAACCAGATTTTTCATACAAACAATTAAAATCATTAATTTCTAATATTCTTAAAGTATTTATTGTCGAATTAGATTTCATATGATAAAAGTATTCAACTACAAAAGTAAATAATTTTACTTTATAATTTATTAATTTTTTAACTCTATTTTTGTGTGCTATTACCAGTCTATAATATTCCAAATTTTTTTGTAATATGTTGCTATATAAATCATAAATTAAAAAAAAAAAATGATTTTTAGTTTCACCTGAATTTAACGATAGATTTTTAAAATTATAATCAAATTTTATAATACGCTCAATTGAGTAAATCTTTTTAACAACTTTGTTTTGATTGGTTTATTTAGTTAAAGTAAATCATTAAAATTAATTAAGTTCTTGATATTTCAATTGCAGAATCTTTTCAAACACCAAAAGTTACTAGGAAATTATTACTATTATTTCTATTTAAGTTATCTATTACAATAAAAATGTAAAAAAATCTAACTTTTCTGATAAATTTACTGTAAATAGTAATTATAAAATTCCCTGATTGCATATTAATCTTAACAATTTAATTTTTTTCTATTTAATAATGTAAATTTCAAACTTGCAAGTTGAGCTAAATGTTATGGTATTACATTCTTTTTTTTTTTTATTAAAACTTTCACTTTAAAGGACAAAAAAAAAGTAGGTTCAAAATGATTACTTTTATCATATTAAAAATCGAAATCAATAATAATTTAAAAATAATTAATTTTAAAAATTGTAAATATATAATTATAAGAATTACTAATCAGGCTTTAATTAAGGAAATAGAAGTTGATGTTGCTTTTGTAATTATCCATCAATTTCTTAGAATTAAACACTATCTACAGATTTGCATCGAAGCGTTTCTTATGATAGTGATTTTAATCACTGTCAGATTAAATCTATACTGATCCAACTATGCAACGTCCCCACTATGCCGCGACCCCACTGTGATGGGTTTAATTTATATAAAATTTGTATCTTTTTAAGCACACGAATACAATAAATGGTAATTAACTCGTGATGAGTCCTACATAAACGACAGATATTTTTTGGTTTATTAATAAATCATATAATAATTATTTAAAATTAATTTTTATAACTGTAAAATTAAAATTCTCGTAAGCCTTTTTGAAATTTAATTATCAAAGAAACAAATTTTCTTATAATTACAACAACAATATGTATATTTGAATCTGTAATTTTGACTCTATATATATTAGCTTTAATCTGTAGTATGATAAAATATAGGATTATATACAGGGTGATTCATTAAAGATAAGACACTCGTTTACTCAGTAACTATTGAAAATTTAAAATTTTTGGTAAGGAAAATATTGTTTGATTCAAAAAACACTACAATAATATGTAGTAAAAACATGATATTTTTCATCCCTTCAAGGTTAAAAAACATTAACTTGAGTTTTTTTAAATGAGAACACATATTTTGAATTTAATAAAATTTTTGAGTTTTTAATTTAATAGCAAATGGCATTTGAATTTTTAATATAACGTTATTCGTTTATTAAATATAAACATTTAAAGTTTCAAATTTTTGAGTTAATATACATGTATAATACACTAGAGATTAAAATTACAAGTAGCTAATTGTTTTTTTATGACATTGCTGTCACAGTCACGGATTGTTCATTATCAATTATGACTATCAATAGATATACATTCCGTATTGTCAGTTAGTGTATTTATAAACTCACAACAATGTGCTTTACTACCATTGATAATAACAATGCTTTGTACCTGCTAATATCGATGTCATAAAAAACCAATTAGCTACCTGTAATTTTAATCCCTAGTGTATTATACATGTATATTAACTCAAAAATTTGAAACTTTAAGTGTTTATATCTAATAAACGAATAAAGTTATATTAAAAATTCAAATATCATTTACTAACAAATTAAAAACTCAAACATTTTATTAAATTCAAAATATGCGTTCTGTTGTATTTAAATATGTAGATCAATCTTTTGTTCTAACTTATATTTTTAGTAGTTCAATAATAACGCAAAATGTAGTTAATAAAGATATAATCAATCAAAATAAAAACATATAAAATATTGATACACTTAAAACCGGATAAAAAAATAATACACAAAATAAAAACTTAAAGTCACAAACGTACCACACGGAAAGAGATTACCTTCGGTACTCCCGAGGTCTTCTCTTTCTCCCCTTTTAATTCATTCCGTTTCATCTTATATACTAAAATATTTTGTTTGTCTTTTTATAAAATTCATATAGTAATCATTTTCAAAAAGGTTTATAAATATTTACTTCCTGATCTAGTAACAATAATTCGGGGAATTACAATTAATCCAAACATTACAAAAGTGTTCTACTTCTAGGTTTACAAATAATAGACTATATTATATTTTAGTAATAATAGATCAAGAGATTCATAATGCCATAATTTTCAAAAATGTTTATAAATATTTACTTCTTGGTTTAGTAACAATAATTTGGGGAATTACAATTAATCTAAACATTACATAAGTGTTCTACTTCTAGGTTTACAAATAATAGACTATATTATATTTTTGTAATAATAGATTAAGAAATTCATAGTTAAACCAAACATTACAAAAATGCTTTGTTTTCAGTTTTATAAAATAATGACCTATATTACAGTTCCCATTTAATAAAAATCAAGTTAATGTTTTTTAACCTTGAAGGGATGAAAAATATCATGTTTTTACTACATATTATTGTAGTGTTTTTTGAATCAAACAATATTTTCCTTACCAAAAATTAAAAATTTTCAATAGTTACTGAGTAAACGAGTGTCTTATCCTTAATGAATCACCCTGTATATAGTGTATGATACAGAACGCCTTTAGAAGGATCTAGTTGACCAGTTGTTACAAAGATCATTGATTATATTATTTCGTGGGACAGCTGATCACAAGCATCCTGCTTTACTCGCCCCCTTGCCAACCTATCACGGCAAATCCATGACCTCCGTGTCGGTTTTCATCCGCGTACACTTCATTGTCGTAAGTCAGTCAGTCGATTTGTTTTATGTGTCATTCTTTTTCTGTAGCAAGCGCCTTCGCTTTAATAGGAAATTGTTTGGCCATTGTACGCCATAGTTTTTTATTATTTGTTTATTGCACCCTTGTGCTCAAAGTTTACGTACCCATGCACGCCACTAGTGATTGGGACCTGACCATTACTAAATATCTGCATTGCCGTAGTCGCCTTTTCGCGTCTCTTCTCATCTACCATTATGTACCTGGATTTACACTCGTCATACTCAGATGTTCGAAACCATTACCACAAGATCTCATACAGTCCACTCGTCATCATCAACAGCTTCATCTATTCAGCTGAGTTTATATTATTTTTTAATGTTATTTATTGTTTGTCTTAATTGAGATTAACTATTTTGTTTTATGCCGCTTCGCGGGTCATTAGTATTTAAGGTTCCCACGTTACCACTTTAATTTAAGATACTCTCTGAGGAATTTCTAATATATGTGATTATTTCTTATTTAATTATTGTCTACTCTCGTTTACTTATTGGATTTATAGTTAGGCGTCATCTCCTAGGTAATCCACCCCCGCATCAATATCAACGTTTTTTAAACAAGCTTAAGGTAAAACGGCATTCTAGTGCGGTGCACAACTAGCGGTCCTATGGTCTAGCTGCCTCGTACACAACATATAGAATAAATGATTCATTGATCATTATATTTTTTCTG